ATTGCAGATTTTTCAATTTTCAGAGTTTTCAGTTTTCAGAGTTTTCAGATTTCAGAGTTTTCAGTTTTCAGATTTCAGTTTTCAGAATTTTTAGTTTTCAGAGTTTCCAATTTTCAGAGTACACCGATTTCAATTTTCAGAGTTTTCAGAGAGTTTGCTGTCACAGAGGAAAGTACAGTAGGATCCGCTGTAACGCGGGAAATATAATACAAATTAAGTTCCAGCGGCATCGCTTTTTGCGTCAAATTTAATTAACCCAAAATTCCAAAATTTCAAATTCAGAATTTGTATATTCGTTTCTTTTTCTTTTTTATCGCATTATACGTAGGCAGCAGCAATTTTCTGATCATGTTACACGCGGTTCTACTGTATAGGGAAAAGAATTTCCCGATCAATTTAGATTATATTCAGTTAATGCAGTTCAGCAGAAAAATATCATTGTATTTGATAGAATAAGTTATGATTAATGGTTAATTATAAACGAAGATTATTCGCTGACGTAAATGATCGCAGAATGAAAGTAACAGACTTCTTCATTTGTTTAATCTTTTATTTATTCATTTATATAAAAATTTCTAAAATTGTGTAATGAGTTACCAATTCTGAGGACAAATTGACCATTTTTAATACATAATACCTTTCTTATCCAAATTTTGATTATTTGTCCCTTTCAATATCCCAAAAAAATCTAAGTAAATTTCAGATTTGTGCAATTTCATTTTTAAGGCACCGCAAATTTTTCGCGAACAATATATTTCGCTGCGATGCGATCGACGTAGGAATATAGTTTACGTTGCTATTAAATTACGTTTTCTCCTGTCTTCACTGTGTTTTAGACAATCAGGAATTATATTTTCAATTTCAATGTTACAAGAATTATATAGATCATCCATAGTCTCACATTGCAGACATTACACATAACAGAAGTATTATTTTTTTTACATGCATACGCGTCCTAATCTTGTCCCGGTTATTATACTTTGCTCCTCACGGTTGAAATCTTGATTAAACCCGATTATTCCCGTTAGCACACTTCTCTTCTTTCTCCAACTGTTTCTTGCTCCAGTAGCCCTCCCGTTGTTCCGTCTTTTTTTCCTTCGTCGAGTTCACCCGGCTTCTCTCGTTAGGTTTTGATTTACGCGCCGCGGGCGTCGGCCAATTAAGGGGAAATTAGCGTCAAGATGCTCGATTAAAGACAACGGACTCGAAACCAGTCTGGAAAAACCTGCATCAACGTTTCCTGCGTTAAAACGGCAAACCGGGTTTCGCAGGAAAAGAATGAAGACGGATACCGGCGATATTTTATGGAAATTCGATAAAGTTCCTTGAATTAAAGGAACAAAAGGCAGGCCGGACCATTTTTTGCTGCTTTACAATGACGTGATGGATTGTTTCTAATGGCGAAATCTGTTACGTGTCGTAACGGCGTATTAACGTTACGGAACGCGAAATCGAACATTTATTTCATAAACTGTTCATCGGGGCAACGTGAAACATCGATGCCTCGCAGCTGCTGCGAAGGATCGCGTTTTTAAAAAAAGCACAGTTGTTGAGGTGATTGGGTTTGTGACACGATCATGCTATTTTTGAGAAAATTAATCAACCTTTTACGATTTCGTTGAAACCGTTGGAACCAGAAGGCAAGATCTAGAAATTGCTTTATGGACGCAGAAATTTGTATTTCTGCGTGTCACATGCATTGTTTAGTCGTAAAATAGAATAAACCTAAGGGAATCCTGTAGCTGGATTTATGGCTTCAAAAGTGGTTACGTCGCAGGCAAGTATTTTGTTTTCAACGGACAAAGGTGTCCTTTTTCGCGTTGCGTGCGACACTCGGTCATCCACAGGATTCCCAAACATTCCGTCGCCGAACACCTCTTCGGTCGGTGTGCATCCCTTCCCTAAAATAGCGCGTTTAGGGCGTAACGGGAAGGGGGTGTCGATGCATCGGAGAAAAACTGATTGATGGAGAATCGTTTTGGAAATCAGGGTGATTCGGCGAGGAACGCAGCTTTCGTGGAGACGGACCACGAAGGCTTGCGACAGTTCAAGATAGAAGGCCACAAGGCAAGGGTCAAATTAGAAGTCTCAACAAGAGACCCGTATCGGACTCTAATTATTGAAATTAGTGTAACCAGTCCGGCGTAACAGTCAATAATAAAACGATCTAACCAAGGTGAATCGACGTGAATTTTGTTTGAAACCCTTTCCCACGTCGACAAGCCGTCGGGAGAAGTTTGCAACTAAACATGCATCACTAGTGTCTTGCCTTTATTCTCATGGAGTAACTCATTCGATTTCATTGTCGCTTTGAATAAATTAGAAAAATGACAAATGACAAAATGGACACTTTGTCCGTCGAATGTAATCTGTGCCTTCACATTTTCATGCATAAGCTATGCCTGAAAAATTCAGAGACCAACCTACGTGAAAGCAGTGCTCGTATGACAGCGACAGTGTGAAGGAAGGAACTAGGTTTAAGCGTATACAGGGTGGCTCAGCTAAATGGTCACCTTACTTGTCGTTATACGTAAAAACTTACACTATTTCAGGAGGTACACGTAATCGTGTAAACGGTTTCTTTCTCAAGATCCTTTTCTTACGAAATTTCAAAGTGATCGCTATTTCTTTTAAACGGAACCCTACATTCGTTACGCTACCGATAAAATTTCTCTACTACGATACATTTGCCGTTTTACTAAACTGGTGTAACAGCAGGCCTCTTGTTAGACGACGCATAGCAACCGTATCCAAATGAACGTCGACAACAGTTTCGATATCGTCGTGTGCTTACAATGCATTTTTCACCGAGTCCCAGTGACATATGTACGTGCAAATATAGCGCCGTACAATCTGATGGTTCTGAGTTGGAGCGCGCCGCAGTCAAAGGGTTAATGAGCATTTGCACAATGATAGAGCTTCCAATTCTGAAAATAGTGGCACCCGGTTTTGGGGGCAGATGGTCAATAGTTCACGAGATATTTAACGTTAAATATGCGGTCTGCGTTTATCTTTCGATAGTTGGCTACCTTTACCGAAGGCGGTAATGAATTAGGCTTCCTTCTTTGTCGCATGTTTGAATCCTGTTGCTGTTTTCCCTTTTTTACTGCTTTTTTAATACACATATGGTCTACTATTTGCGACTAACCTTTAAATATTTAAATATTTATTTTATTTGACCCTTATGGGAATAGCCAGAATTGTCGTCTACTTTATCGTCCAATTTTAGTAGTTTTATGATAACAAAATTCTAAACTTGAGGCAAACACAGATAGGAAATGTGCGAAATAACAACGATCTGGCAGGATATTTCAATTTTTTCCCTGGAAGATCGAATATTTTAAGTGAGAATTATGCAAAAAGGTACCCGGTTATTTACACAAGTGTTAAATACTATATTCAATTAATTCATTGCACAATTAATTACACAGATAGACTGTAAGAGTTTAACCCTAGTGCGTTCTTTCGTTCGACTGTACACTTGAGGTTTTTAGGTCTTTTTTGACCCAAAGGTCTTAGGTGTAACAATTTTTGTTACCAGCACGCCGTATGAACTTAGGTAATGATCTTTCGATGTAATGTTAAGGGAACATAAATTTGATAACTGCAAAAGTAATTAACCCTAGAGCGGTCTTCGTTTTGACTGTACACTTAAGACTTTTGGGTGAAAAAGGACCTAAGACCTTACGTGTAATAATTTTCGTTTCCAACGCGACGTATGAACCTAGACAATAAACGTTTGAAATAGTGTCAAGGAACGTAAACTTGATAACAGCAAAAATGACTAAAAATATAAAAAGGCGGTGGGTCAGAAAAGACCCGAAGACCGCTCTAGGGTTAAAAAGATAAGGCGATGGGTCGAAAAAGACCCGAAGACCGCTCTAGGGTTAAAAAGATAAGGCGATGGGTCAGAAAAGACCCGAAGACCGCTCTAGGGTTAAAAAGATAAGGCGATGGGTCAAAAAAGACCCGAAGACCGCTCTAGGGTTAAAAAGATAAGGCGATGGGTCGAAAAAGACCCGAAGACCGCTCTAGGGATAAAAAGATAAGGCGATGGGTCAAACAAGACCCGAAGACCGCTCTAGGGTTAAAAAGATAAGGCGATGGGTCAAAAAAGACCCGAAGACCGCTCTAGGGTTAAAAGAATTTGCTTAGTGCTCAGAAACTGTGAGTGTGTGATTGTAAAAATTAAAAAGTACTTTTTCCTGGGAAAGGCAGTTCCAGAGAAACCGCACGAAGGAAAATTGACCTATTTCCTTTTTTTTTCTCCATTTTAAATATATTTTCGTTGCCTAATTAAAGTGTCCATTCTCTAATTAATTACAAATCCCACAGTAGAAATCTAGTAAAGGAAAACTGACCTGCAAATTGCGGTCAGATTTTTTGTTTCCACTTTGAATACGTTCTTATCGTGTAACTAAAGTGTCGATCCCCTAAGTAATTACAAAT